AGGGAGGGTGCAGGCCGACGTCTGAACTGGTGGGACTTGGATCTCCTGGGCTATATGTAGGGTAGAGTCTGGCAACATCTTTTTCCCAGGGAAGGACCCTAAAGACCATGAGAAGGAGAACCTGAAGCGGATCAGGGAGATCCAGAGGCGCTTCCAGGAGCAGGAGCGCAGCCGGGAGCAGGGACAGCCCAGGCCCCTGAAGGCTCTGTGGCGCTCACCCAAATATGACAGAGTGGAGTCCCGGGTCAAGGCCCAGCTACAGGTACCTGGCTTGAAGAGCCACAAGCATTGTTCATCCTGTTGACTGAGAGACAGTTATGCTCAAATCTGAGTTAGGGGGAGGGGTGAAAATCACAGGGGACTAGGGTACCAGGGGCTAAGAAATAGCTGATTGTGCTGCAGGGTCAGGCTGGGGGTTTCCCTCAGAAGTGGTGATGGCTGGAGGATCCTGAAGGGCAAGTAGGAATTAGGCAAGGAGAGAATGGAAGACAACATTCTACTGAGATGGAACCTTATAGATAGAAGTCCTAAGACTAGAGGGAGTGTGGGCAGTGGTATGCTGTATACAGGGGAGAAGAGCATGAGGCTGGGCTGAGAAGTCAGCCAGGCCCACATCATAAAAGATCCCTTTATTTCTATGGGTGTTGAGAAGGGCAGGGGTACAGTGGTGGGATTCTTTGGTAGACAGTAGTACCATTTCTCTATCCAGAGTCTTCAGAAGGAGGAACAGGATAGAGAGGAAAGACAGTAAGGTCATATGCAAATTTGTTGAAACTGAAGCATTTGTGGGACTCCTAGGGGGCTGGGAGTATGCCCAGGAAACAGATGGAGAGTCAGGTCTGGATCTGAAGAGAGAGACCCAGGAGTTATTGAGGATTAGGCTGATGACAGTGAGCCCAGGGAAGTGACCCTGGATTTGAGGGCTTGGAGGCCAGCTGTGAACGACCTTGGTGGGGACAGAGTCAGGAAGCTTGGCCAGGAAGGAGAGAAAAAGGGAATGGTTTAGCCAGAGTCAGGACTGAGGTTGAAGGAGGGGTGGTTTGCTGTTTTCCTAAAGATGTGAGACACCCACATACTTAAATGCTCATGGATAGAAGTGTTCCTTCAAAAGGGAAGAGGCCCATAGGGCTGGAGATAAATATCCTCACAGGCAGAAGGGACAGAAGCTCACTCATTTGGGTGGATTAAAACTGACTTCAGCCTGCCTGACTCCTCTGCTATGCTCTGCCCTCCAGGAGCCCAGCCCTGCCTCTGGAACAGAGCCTGCCCACTTCCTACGGGCACACTCCCGCTGCGGCCCTGGGCTCCCACCACCCCGTGTCCCCAGTCCTCAGCTAACCCCACCAGGCCCCAGTGCTAAGGTGAGAGGATGTGTGGGAGCTGGGGGAGAGGGGCAGCGATCTTGAGGGGTCCAGGAGCACATCACAGTGCTGTCTGCCCCATCCTGCTTGCCACGTCCTGCAGGGGCCAGGCCTGGGTGTGGACTTCATTAGCCACAATGCCCGCACTGCCAAGAGGGCCCCCCGGAGGCATTCCCGCTCACTGCAGGTCCTGGCACAAGTGCTGGAGCAGCAGCGGCAAGCCCAGGAGCACTACAACACCACGCAGAAGGGCCATGTGCCTCATTAGTAGGTCCCACTGCCCAACACCCAGGGTGAGGGGTGCCTGTGGAGGGTGGGAGATTACCTCTGCCCCTGGGACCATCACCTCTGAGCCTGTGCATCTGCAGCTTGTTGGAACGCAGGGATCTGTGGCGGCGGGAGGCTGAGGCCCGCCAGCAGAGCCAGCCGGACCCTGCCATGCCCCCAGGCCACACTCGCATGCCTGAGAATCAGCGGCTGGAGACCCTGAGCAATCTGCTCCAGAGTGAGTTCGTGGGCAAGGGATAAGGGGCAGTGGACGGGGAACTTAGTGGGGACCATGCACCCCTGCCCAGCACTTACTGTCCCTGGGCCCCCTGTAGGCCAGAGCCAGTTGCTACGTGAGCTGGTGCTGCTGCCTGCTGGGGCCGATTCACTCAGGGCCCAGGGCCACCGTGCGGAGCTGGACCGGAAGCTGGTGCAGGTAGAGGAAGCCATCAAGATCTTTTCCCGCCCCAAGGTCTTTGTGAAGATGGATGCCTGAGCCCTTTTATGGGGGTAGTTGTGTGGGTCCTCAATGAGGATCGCCACACAGTTGCAAAGGCAGGATGAGGCCCCATCATGGCCTGGAGTTCGAAGACAGGAGAGTGGGGTGGGCAGTATCCCCAGAGCACTCTTCCCAGCTACTGGTGGATGTAGAAGGACCAGCCCAGCCTCTTAACCCCTTTGTCCAAATTAAACCTTTTGTACACAGTGAGGTTTGTTTCCATAAGAGCTTTTCTTACCCTAGAAATGCCAAGCCTGGTGTCCCTCCCTGCTGCTCAATTGCGGGAAGGTCTCTCTGTTATCCTTATCACTCCTGCCTTGTGTCCATGGCAGAAGGCAAAACCGTGAGACCACAATGGACATTAAGGCTGGGACACAGAAAGACGATGACTGCATTTGTAGAAAACCTTTAATGTTCCCCAGACTGAGAGGGTTCTGTGAGCAAGCTAGAAACCCCCACCAGGGAGGTCCCTGCCATGTCCCAGCAGCCTGGAGTGGCGAGGGGCTGCATCCTTGCCTGTCAGAGGCTAAAGCCACTACCATCTCCTCGCATGCTGCTCCCCCATCCAGAGCTGGCCTGCTCCTGATCATCCAGGGAGGGCAGAGAGCTGCGGGCACCAGGAAGTAGACGGCCCTGGCGCAGGTCCCAGCATGGAGGCCCCTGAGACAGCCCATTGGAACAGGGAGGCTGGCGGTTCTCAATGACCAGATCACTGCTGTCATCATCGCTATCAGCCTCAGTAGGCCCAAGCCCAGCAGAGCGAGGCCCTGTCAGACGCGCAGATGCCCCACGCACCACGTTATTGCGCTGATTGGCTGGCTTGACAGTGACAATGAGATTGTGGCTATTGGCGATCATCATGTCCGTCACTTGGTCCAAGGTCTTCCCAGCCACCTCAATACCATTGACCTCGAGGATCTCATCACTGACTGCCAGCAGCCCTGTACTCTCAGCCAGGCCCCCTCGTACCAGGCGGGAGATGAAGATGCCTGGAACCCGTTCCAGGCCCTGGGGAGCTACACGTACACTCATGCCATCTCGGATGTAGAAACCCAGGGGGCGGTCGGAGCCATGCTTGTGCAGGCGCACCCGTCGGTGGGTCTCAGGCAGTAGGTCCACATCTATGACTGAAGAAACCTGGCGGAAATCTTGGGGCAGGCTAATCAGCAGAGGTGGCCGGGTGCGCAGGGGTGCCACTGGCCAAAGTAGAAGCCCTTTCTTGCGCCGCTGCAGAGAGTTGGATGGGAAGGCCAGGCCACTGGAGTCAGCTTCTGCTGCGGGGGGTGGGGAGTGGTGGGGGGGTGCTGAGATCAGAGACCCTGTTCTCCCACATGGGCCCTTTTCCCTCATGCCCAGGCCTGGGAAAGGGGGTATGGTAACTATTTCCCACTAGTTGGAGGTCAGACCAAGGGCAGGAACTGCAGAGAATGAAGCCTGGACACCCTGGGCATGGGCTAACCCTTGTAGCTCTGCCCTGGTGTTCTACCCCACAGAGGCTGCCCACTGTACCCCATCCTCCTCACCCCGCTTCTGTACTAGCAGGCGCAGCGGTGGGGGCCCAGTGGCCAGGGCCCGGTGCAGGCTGTCATCGTTGGTGAGGGGCAGTAGGTCGCCGTGAGCATCTGTATAGCCAAGCAGCACGTCCAGGCCTGGGATCTGGTGCACTGCACGCAGCAACCGCGAAAACTCTTGGAAGCCACTCACCGAAGCGCGGGGCAGGGCGAAGCGTCGGAACTCAGCATCAAACTGGAGGCAGGGGGTGGGTGAAAGGAGGGGTCAGGACGGAGCCCGTGCCCTTTCCTACCACGGGTCCCAGGGTGTTAGAGGTCGGAAAAGGCTGTCGCCAAGGCTGCAGCCTTGCGCCCAGACCTCAGCTCCAGTACAAGGGACGCTGTCCAAGGTCTTCTCCCCGCCTTCCAGGTAACAAGGCCACAGAGGGACTTTAGATGCCGGCAGTGGAAAGAAGATGGATGGAGGAAGGCGAAAGGAAAGGCCGGAGAATGGGACATGAATGATGGAGGCGAGAAAAAAGGTGGTGGGGACTAAAGCTAGGAAAGGGGAGAATAAGGGAATTGGAAGCGCCTAGGGCCGAGGCCGGAGCCGGGGCCAGAGGGGCCCTTACTTTGCTCTTCACCTCGACGATGTTGTCGGGACTGCGCGCTGGAGTCCTCTGCTGCCTGGCCATGGTGGGGCCGGGCGGGCCGGGGACGGTGCCCCAGGCGGCCCGCCGAGGAGCAGGTGCACAGCCCCGGCAGGCCGGCTCGTGCCGCCCCGCCCCTGACGGTAGCACTCTCCCCGCCCTCCCATCCGGACCATGACGTCAAGGGGGCAGCGACAGAGAGTGGAACGCGGAGTCCACGTTTCCTAGGAAACGGAGATGGGGGCGGAGGCATATTGGCGTGCTCTTACGTCATTACGCTACGGCGCGCGAGTCTCCGGAGTCTGGGGGAGGGGTTTGGCCAATCCAAGGGGAGGGTGAGGGAAGTGATATTTATTGACTGTTGTCTGTGTATTATTTTCATTGGCCTTATAACGTTAGATGACTGAATGTTTTAGAAGAGGAAAAAGCGATAAATATTTGCTGAGCTCCGCGGGTTCACAAGGTGTTGAAGTGTTTTTGAGCCAATCGCTTGACCACTCTTGACCGCAGCCTCAAGCCCCAGATCCCTCCCTCTCCATCCTTCCCGGTGGCATGGTAATCTCAACAAACGGCCCGAACGCCAGGCCGCTTCTCGGAGACACCAGGGTAAAACCAAGTAGGTGGATATCCACTCTACCCAAGAGTTTGCGCGGAACAACACTGAATCGTGCGCACGCGCGGGCACGCTCATGGGCGGGGCCAAGACCTTAGGTCCCGCCCAGCCACTGTGCGCTTCCTCTTCCGACGAGAGGCGGGGCCCTGGCGTCCGCGGGAAACACGGGGTGGTGGTTTTCTGCTAGGGGCTGCTGCGGAAATGGCAGGTTTGGGGAGTTTGGTCCTGCGGCCTTGGATTCGAGACCTGGTCCTGGAGTCAGATGCACTCTCAAGTCCGCAGGCGGGGCAGCTGCTCGAGGTGAGCCCTCCCCACTTCTCAGGGCTCGGAGAAAGGCAAAGCCCGAGGGCGGTGGGCCGGGCCCGAGGGTGGTGGATTTGACGCCAGTCGACGCCGTAAGGTGTTACAGGAGGCCGACGCTCCGGGCCCGTCCCACGCCTCTGACCCCTCTGACGTCGCAGCGGCGCTCCTTGTGTCTGACGGGACCCACAGTGTCCGGTGCCTAGTGACGCGGGAGGCCCTGAACGCCTCGGACTGGTGAGAGACGCAGCGCGGGGCCTGGGGAAATCCGAGTCTAGTGAAAGAACGCGAGGCCTCAGCCGGAGATGCGCGGGGCCGCAAGCGGGCAGGGCTGTGTTTGAGCGGGCTAAGGCGGTGATGGTCGTGCTTGTGGCAGGGAGGAGAAAGAGTTCGGCTTCCGAGGGACAGAAGGCCGGCTGCTGCTGCTGCAGGACTGTGGGGTCCGCGTCCAAGTCGCCGAAGGTGGCGCGGTGAGTGGTGAGGCTGGCTTGGGTGGGTTAATGAGCCTGACTCCGTGACAGCTCCTAACACGTGCCCCTGAATTCCTTCAGCCCGCAGAGTTCTACCTCCAGGTGGATCGCTTCAGCCTGCTGCCTGCAGAGCAGCGCCGGGAACGGGTGATTGGTTGGTAAGTGATGCCCCCCCCGCCTCAGCTGTTCTCCCTAATCAGGTCTGACTGCCTTTGGTACAGGTCTTTTGAGTGGGAGGGCTTAGGCCCCTAGTAACAACATTGCCTCAACTCTCCTCCCGCCCCCCAGCAACCAGGACCCAGATGTGCAGAAAAAGCTCTTTGACTGTCTGGAGTGAGTACGGAATTGGGCTCTTCAGCCAAGTGTGGCTGTGTCAGGGGATGGTAGATCTGTGTAGACAGGCCTCAGGATTGTTCCTCAGCCTTGTTTTCTCTGTTTCTATAGGGAGCACCTTTCAGAGTCCATCTCCCCCAGCGCAGGTACTTATAGTGTTTGGCCAATGATCCTAACACCCATAGAATGACACCCTCGGTCACTGTCTTTTGCTTCCTTAGTAAGCTCCTCTCTCTACCCACCCTTCCCTTCTTTAAGTTTTGGCCCATCCTCTCGTCCCCTGCCTTTAGGACTTTCACTGTCCCAACTTCTGGATGAAGTGCAAGAGGACCAGGAGCATCGGGGGGCGCTAGTGCATCTGGCTGAGAGCTGTCTGATGCTGGCAGGCCCTTGCACAGCACCCCCCCCTCACCCGCTGGACCTCCTCCTGCCATAGGGCCACGGTCAGTCTGGGGCTTCCCTTGGGGAGTGTCAGGGTGAGGAGTTGAGCAAGGGCTGTGCTAAGAGTTTATGCCCCACAGGGAGAAGCTGTGTACACTGTCCTCAGCTCATGGCTGCACATCTCTGAGAATGACCAGCGAGTTCTGAGCTCTCTGCGCCCAGGTCAGAGAGCACCAGGTGTGGAGGACTGGAGAGGGGAAGAGGAGGGTACCTGGGGGCCCAGTACCCACACTGCTAATAAGCTCCCCCTGACCTTCAGGCCCTGAGCTGCCTCCACCAGACCCAGGTTTGCAGGACCTATCGCTGACCCTCATTTCTCCTTCCTCGCCTACTTCCTCAGGTAAGGGGTTGCTCAGGCCACAGCCATTCACTGCTATCACCCAGGTTCCCAGGCTGCTGCAAAAGGTTGCACACCCAGGTAGGGGATGAACACAGTCCCTATAGGCCTGCCTAAACTCATGGGCTACTGAGCTGAGAGGGCTGTGCCCACAGTCAGTCCCCTCCTTCCCAGGAACTCCAGCTTTATCCAGCCATGTGTCCTCAGAGGAAAGCGGCGCCAGCATCAGCCTTCTGCCTTCCCTGTCCTTGGCTGCTTCAGACCCAGTGCAAAAGGGCAGCGCCCAGGCTGTACCAGCCATCTGTTCAGCCCCTGGCCCCTTGCCCCCTGGCTCCCCACACCCTAGCCATGTTCCCAGTTCCCCACTCCTGAGCTGCACCCCAACTCTGTCACCCCTTGGCTATGTACCCAGTCCACATCAGGCCACTGTGACTAGGGCCCAGAAACCTAGCCTGGAATTCAGGGAGCAAGGGTTGCCCCCCAAGAACTGGCAGCACTCTCCAAGGACAAAAAGCACCCCGGGAGCCCTGGAGTCCAGCCCTGTTTGGGTGAGCATACATGGATAGTAGAATGGGGTAGACCTTGAGTGGAGCTGGGAGTAGGGGTGGAGGGGTAGCCTTAGATGGGGTTAGGGGTCTTTATTGGCCCCTCTCCTGATATCACACCACCTTCAGGACCCTCCAAAGCGGCATCGTGATGGTTCTGCCTTCCAATATGGGTATGAGCCACCCTGCACCTCCCTCTGTGCCCAGGTCCAAGCCGTCAGGTGAGTGCCTAGGGCTGCCCCTACCCTTTTAGTCACCAGTCCCTGTCCCCATTGACCTACAGCCATGGATCTCTTCCCAGGCTCCCTCCCCAGCTCGTGGCCTGGGCCTTGCACTTTCTAATGGAACCACCGCCGGATTCTCAGCTAACCCAGGTGTGAGGGATCATGGGGGAGGATATATGCACACAGATCCAGGCCTGGGATAGACAAACAGTGCTCCACGCTCTGCTTCTTTGAGTTTTTTAATAAAATAATCTCATGCGGCAGGAAAAGGAGAGGGTCAGGGGTTGGGGCCGCCGCCTCTTTGGTCTGTGGCTGGGGAGGGTGGGTTTGGCTCAGGGCTGGAGGGCTCTGTAGACTGTGGGGGCAGAGGTTGGGCTCCAAGGCCAGATCCTGCAAGGGAAGGAAAAAGGGAGGGGAGGGGGTCAAGACTGGACCAAGCTGTCCTGCCCCCACTCCCAGCTGGCCCCAGCCTTCTCTTACCTAGGCTTGGAGATGAAGGTGCCTCAAGCTTTGGTCTCCGCTTGAGAACAGGGGAGCGCTGCAGCCGCAGGGGCCGTTCTGAGAGACATAAAGACTTGGCAGGGGGGAGCTGTATTCCTAGGGACTTGCTGCCTGTTCCCATGCAGTCTCCATCACCTCCAGTGTGTGAGTTCCAGAGCTCACACTGTTGGCTTCAGTGCCTCCCTCCTCCCCTGCCACACCCCCAACCCTCCCCCTCCCCCCCCCCCCGGGGCGGGGGCAAAAGCTGCTAGGTGGAGACAGGGCTAGGAGGCAGGGTTTGTCAGACCCTTGCTCCAGGCCTTGTCAGACCCTTACTCCAGGCCTTCTGGCTCCTTGACTTCTCAAACCCTTAACATCACTGGTAGCCCCCTCCAAATAAAGACCAGAGCCACCAAGGGAGCCCTGGAGTCTACCCTCCCCCATCTCCTGCACTCAAGCACACAGGGAGATGTCCCCCCCTCACCAACAGGGGCCTGGAGCTGGTCCTCATGCACAGACACTGCTCGTCGCCCTGCTGAGAGAGGCCTCGGCCTCAGCTGGCCATCTAGAGGAGGCCAGGATATCAGGGTATGTTCTGGACAGCTACCCCCACCCCAGCCCTTGCCTCCCCCTTGTCAGGGTCCCCAGCCCCATATTGGAGTGGGGCCTAGGGTGCCCAATTACCTTCATTCCTGGGGCCCAAGCAAGGGTCCTCCGGGAGACCCAGGCTGTCTGGGGAGGGGCTGGCTCTTCGTGGGCTGGGGCTGGGACAAGGAGAGGGGGGGCCCAGGGCCGTCCTGTTGGCCCCAGCCATGGCCCCTAAGCTCTGCATTCAGCTGCTGCCCCAGTGTCTTCCAGCTAGTAGACTCAAGCCCTTGACCTCCTGGACTAGGTCTGCACGAGGGGTCTGCAGGGAGAATGGTATAAGCCTAACTAGTCTGACACACACACACACACACACACACACACACACACACACACACACACGCCAACACTTACTCACCAGCAGATACAGAGTGGGTGCGGGACTTGATCGAGATGGGAGGGGCCTCAGCGGAGCTGTCCATAATATCACCTGCAAGGTGGGGCTGGGGGTTCAGGCACCAGCCCTTGGGAATGAGGGGAAAGAAAACCTGGCCTCTTTGCCTTTTCCCCCAGGAGAGCCAGTGCCTTGAGACTATCTCTAAGGACAACTCCCTCACCAAAGCTGTACTGCCCAAGCAAAGGGTCCCACTTACCATCCGAGCCAGCCTTCTTGATCTCTCCGTCCTTGCTCTGTAGGAAACGGGGAAGTCAAACTCAGTCCAGTCCTGCCCTCATTCTAGCAACTGCCAGTACATGTCCACCAGGAGATGCCGGGATGGGTGAAGAGGAAGCTGATGTAGCCCATGGGTGGTGAGGAGAAGCTGAAAGTAGCTCCCGACGGAGGACTATGTTATGAGGGGCATTGAGCTGCACCGGGTGTAGCACAGTGAGATGAAGGAAATGACTGGGGCTGAGGCCTTAGGACAAGACTAGGAGGCAGGGCAGTGTCCTGAGAGGATGTTCCTGGAGGATTTGCTATTTTATTTAGATTTTATTTATCTGTTTGACAGAGATCACAAGTAGAGAGGCAGGCAGAGAGGAGGAAGCAGGATCCCTGCCCAGCAGAGAGCCCGATGCGGGGCTTGATCCCAGGACCCTGGGATCATGACCTGAGCCAAAGGCAGAGGCTTTAACCCACTGAGCTATCCAGGCACCCAGATTTGCTGTTTTAAATGCAGGTCACAAGGTCTGGGTTCTGTTCAATCTACAGAGGAAGGACCATCCCAGCTCCAAGGAAGAGGTAGCAGTGGCCAGGGCAGAAGCCGTGAAGGAGGAAAGGCTGAAGCTGAGAACTATTTTGAGGAGGAGGGGGGTGGACCTGATAGAGCTGTCATGAGTCTCCTTCTGGTCACATATGTCACCCACAGACTGCCACAAGACACATGTCACCTGCCCCCTCACTTTGCACTTGTGTCCCTCCCAACTTACTTGCTTCCTCTTGCCTTCGGCACTCCCGCTGCCTCTGCTCACGCCAATCCTCTGGAGCATCACTTGTACCCGCTGTTCAAAGGATGGGGCCAGCTCTGTCTCCCCCCGCTCCAGGGGCCGTCGCTGAGGACAGAAGCCCAAATGGGGAGAGAGCCCACCACCTCAGTCCTAGCAGAGCCCTCACCCCTTGTCACCAGGCTTACCTTGTCAGGTCTAGTACCCAGGGTTTCCTCCTCCTCCTCCTCCTCGGCAGGTAGGAGTATCATGGAATAGGCTTTGCTTTCCCGAGTGTAGCGAGGCCGGCTCCTACGGGTAGGGTCAGGGCTGCTGGTGCCCCCCTCAGCCCCACCAGACTCCTCACCACGGCCGGGACGGGCTGGTGGCCGCAACAGGTCTCCGAGTGTAGCCTTCCGAGTGCGCGGAGCTGCCCCAGGGCTGGTCTCTAGATCAGGCCGTGGCCCCCGTGTTGAACGAGGCTTCTTGAAGGCAAAGAGGGTACCCAGCTTCTTTCGCAGTGTACGAGGAACAGGGGTGGCACCCCCCTCGTTGGCCGGGTCTTCTTCAGCGACCCAGCTGTGGGAACAGCCAGCAGTGAGTAGGAAGGCCCATGGAACATCCCACCCTCTCCCACCCCCTATAGCTGCCCCTCACTCACAGGCGATCCTGCTGGATCAGCCTTTTGGAGAAGAATTCCTCCACGCCCTCGTCCACGCGGGCACTGAGCCCATTCCCTTCCTGCGGCAGGGCTGGGGGCACCTGGGGGACACCACAGGGTCAGGGCTGAGCACAACCATGAATTCTTTCCACCCATTGTCCAACAGCCTGGCCTGGGCAACTCCCGGACTGGGCAGCTGGAGTCACCCTAAAGGGCTACTGACAGACATTCTTGCTGTCGACGTGGTGGGCAGAAATGCTGGTTTCACGTATCTCCTCACCAGTGGTTGCCCCTGGACACACACCCAGCCCACACCTTGTCCCATGGAGTATCCTACACACCCTGAACCAACAGGCGAGAACCCACTGGCCCCCTGGGTCACACATTCCCACTTGCCACCCCCTCTGCTCCAAACAGTTCCCCGCAGTACCCTCCACCCCCACCCCACCCGGCCTGCTGGCAGCTCGGCGGCGCCTGCTGCTGCGTCAGACCCTCTGGGGGGGCCTCAAGCTGACTCTCTGCCTTCTGCCCCGTACCCACTGCCCCCACCCGCACCCAGCACACACACATCTCCCCAGGTAAATACCCACTGGACCTGTGGTTGATGCAGGACTGTCCCCACAGCCTGGGGCCCCGCATCTGTCAGTAACCCTGGGAGGAGGAGGAGAAGATGGACACCCTCCCTCACAAATCCGTCCCTGCAGAGGGCCAACCCAAGATGCAGTCCTAAAACTGAGATGTACCCCCAGTGAAATCCACACACTCATGACCCTGCATGACAACGGCCTGAGGAAACGCCAGAAATAAACCAAGGCACGGCAGTACGACCAGGTGGTCTTGGGCCCCTAAAACCCACCTCCCTAGCTGCCATCACTCCTGAGAAGAGGAAAAGCCCCTGTGACCCCCCAATTCCACAAGCTCTAGAGTGGGGGAAGGGCGCTCACCTGGGGGCCCCCCGGTGGTGGCCGGTGGTGGTGCTGGCGCCGTGGCCGCGGCCGGGCCCGGGTCGGATGGCGCAGGGGCTGTCCAGCGGGTGGCAGGTCCATGCGAGGCAGTAGGCCGGCCTGGGGTCCGGGAGTGGCGGGGCTCGGAGAGCCACGCGCAGAAGGCCCCGCCTGCGGCTCCGCATCTTCCCCCGGAGCCGCCAGCTCGGGCTCCGGCTCCTCAGCAGCACCTAAGGGGAAAGCACCAGAGGAGCACCGAGCAGCGAACCCGGGGAGGTGGTGGTGGCAGCGGAGCTAGGGCAGCCCGGGACCCGCCCAGGGCGCGGGGAGGGGCCCGGCTACGCCGCCCGCCCCCTGCCCCTCCCCCCCACCGCTGTCCGTGGTGCTGAGCGCGGCCCCGAGCAGCGCGGCTCTGCGCGGCCGCCAAGCATGCGCATCCTGGGGGTAGAGAAAGGGGCGGGGGAGGCGAATGGAAACAGTGTCCTGATCCTGGTCTGCTCAGGTCCTGTTTCATGCTGACCGTAGCAGACCCCAACCTGCAAATTGCACGGAGGGCCTGGGCTGGCTTAATCAAGGGTGAGGGAGGTCCTAGCACAAGACTGAATGAATGTGTCCACGTGTCCAGGTTGGTTCCCAGATCTAATGGAGAACTTTCAGCCGGGCCTGGTTAACTCCCCCTCCCCACAGACCCTGACTTACTGTGAGTGGAGGGAACCAGGGGAAGACCTTGGCTGCACTCAGGCCATTTCTGTGGGGGATTGCCATCCTAGTGGGGAGGGCAGAAACTCAGCTTGGGACACAGGCGGACTGTCTCCCAGCCTTCCACACTTCATAACAAGATGGGAAGATCTAAGAGTTCTAGGGCCAGGGTTCCAGGACCACATACCTTCTGTTTGTCTTCATCCTCCTCCTTTTCCTTCACCTCCTCAGGGAAGAAAAGACCTTCCAGTTCCCCAGGCCCAAGGGGGCTGGGCTCACCTCCATCCAGTGCTGGTATGGCAAGAGGTATTGCCACTGTCGCCTGCTGAGCCAGACTCTCCACCTGCAATACCAGGCAGCCCAAAGATGGGCAGTTGGGCCTCAGCCACAGTCCCATCGGTCCTAAAGAAACTCTGAAATACCCCTGGGCTCTATGAACCCAAAAGACATTATAGAACCCCTGCAAGGCAGTGGCCAGGTCACTGTGTGTGTGTGTGTGTGTGTGTGTGTGTGTGCATGCACACGTGTGCATGCACGTGCACAATTCTCCCTCACCAGCCGATCCCGGGCTGCATTCAGCCCCTCCAGTGCCTGAGCCACAATGCTCTCTGCCAAGGTCCCCGTGACTGACAGCCGCATATCCCTAAGAGCAAGACAGAGCAAGGATTAATGGACTATCTCTGCCCAGTCCTATTCAATCCAGTCCAACCTCAGGCCTATCCAGTCTACCTGAGCCTAGTGAAGGCATCTTGTAGCAGGTGTTCTGGGAGCAGCTCTGGGAGGCCCCTTGAACCCACCAGGACCCCCTCTAGTTGCTCCCTCCACTTGGGCCCCTGCAGCATCTGTGGGCAGAGGCTCCTTGTTGTGTCCAGTGTGGCCTGAGTGAAGTCCTGGGCAAAGACCAGAGCATGGAGAGTGTGGTCTGAGGCTCCAAACCCCACAGAACGTTGACACAAGGGATATCACAGCCAAACCTATGAGATAGGGTTAAGCCTGTATATGGACCTGGGCCTGGGGCAAGGGTAATATCTTACCTGAATATCCTTGCGGCAGACCTCACCCACTTGTCCTAGGAGGCCTTCTAGCTTCTGCCGCAGCTGCCACTGATGACTTGGGGAGCTCCCAGCCTCATACAGAATTGGGAGAATCTGGAAGCCAAGCAAGAGAAGGAGTTGCAAGGTGACACTCGATTAAGAGGGAAAGGGTCCTTGCAGCAGCGGTGGGGAAGGGGTGCTCACACTGAGAGAGAAGTTGGCATTTTGGATGGCATCCTCCGCCTGGTGCACAGCAGCTTCGCCCTGAGGCCCAGCCCCACAGCCCAGTAGCTCCACATGTTCCTGCACTGACTGACACAGTTCATTCACTTCCTGGGGGATGGGGGGAGGTGCGCATCAAGAATCAGTGCCATCCTAGCTCCCTCCAGCCTCCCAGACTCTGATTGCTTCCTGCCCAGGGTCTCCAACAGGGTGGGTGAGGTCCTGAAGCCAGTACTATCAGGCCAGCCATTCAGGAACCCTATCTGCTCAAGGAGGGCATGAAGTGTCCCCTTTGGATCATTTTAGGGACTTTATATACACTTCTAAGTGTCCAGAATAGGAAAAAAAAAAAAAGGAGCTGTTAGTCTTTTCTATGTTTTAGAAGCTCAGTCTGCTCACTAGCCACGTAGAGGACAGACTGAGGGGGGCAGAAATGGGAGTGAGGAGCCATGGACTAAGGACCAGGGAAGCAACAGATATTTGGGGTGGGAGCGAGGAGCAGTGTGTTTGAGAGTTAACCGAGATAGGACCAAGTCCGTCTGTGGGGGTTCTAGTGTGGCCAGGAGAGACCTGGCCCAAACTTCTGGCCACAACACTTGGTGTGTGTGAGCACCAGTGGGAATGGGTTCTAGGGTAGAGAGAAGAGTTTGTGGGAGGTGATGAGGTCACTTGAAGGTGTACAGAATGTGGAGCCCCCGCAGGATGTCTGGGTCAAGATGCCTCAGCTTTAAAGCCTGAGAAAGAAGTGGGATTTGGGAATGGATAGGTGGGAACATCTCACAAAGGCAGGGGAGTGGAGGGAGATGAGGCCAGAAAAAGGGTTGCTGGGTTCAGCCCCAGCAGAGGTCAGTGCAGAGGAGAGTCCTATGAAAGGGAAGTCACAGATGGGCTACAAGCATCTGGGGGTTGGGGGAAATTGAGGGAGGATTTTTAAATACCTCCCATCTTGAACAGGACAGTCTATTTAAATCCTTTAAAAAGGTATCCAGGGGTGTTATTTGGGGGAGCTACCAAAAAAGAGGGACTTGTCCTGGAGAGCAAATACAGGCACTCTAGCCCCAAGAAAGTCAGAGGCTCAAACTCATGGAGGATTCCAGGCACCACACTTCTTCCCATCCCCTATCTTCTGTACCTACTCAAGGTTGAGGGAGGGGACACTAACCTGCTCTGAGGGGTCTGAGACCAGACCCGGTGGCTGCGGACGGGAGGTGCGGTCAGAAGAGGTATGGTCCGCACGGTTATTCCTCAAAAGACAGGCTTGGATCTGCGCATAAGCGATATAGAGAAGTGGTAGGAGGCGGGGCCAGGGCTCAGAGAAGGGCCGGGGAGGAGTGAGGAACCCAACCTGATGCACTGCACGTGCGGTCAGCTCCGGGCGGCTGCGATGTGCCTGGGCCACGTCGTTCAACGGCAGAGGCATGGTCTTTAGGCTGCGGTTCTGCTCCAGGGCCTCTGCCACGTCCATCAGGCCCAGAGCAGACGTGTGGTTTCGGTCCCAGACAACCGACCTGGGCCAGGCCGGACTTCAATCAAGGGCGGAGCTCCACAAGGCTCCACCCAACCCCGCTGGCTTGTCCATTCACCTCGCGCCCCAGTCCCCAGCATTTGCCCCTCCACATTCGGCCCGCCCCTTAGTCCAGTAAGCACCTCCCCGGCCACGCCCCCTCCCCTCTGACCCCGCCCACCGGAGCCTTGTGTTGACCCGAAGTGCCTTGGCCAGCATTTTGGCGCCAGTGTCCCCCATGGCGTTGCCGCTGATATCCAGCGCCATCAGGTTAGGATTGGTACCCAGGGCCCGAAGCAGGACGCTGGAAGCCAGCTTCAGCCGTGACTCAGCCACGGACAGAGACTGCAGGGGCTGGGGGAGGGGGGTGGAAAGCGCGATTTGGGTTTGGAATGGGCGGTCAGCAAGGAGGGCAAGTTTCAGGGTCTGATAGAGCAGGAATCACCGGGGCCCGTCTATTGCCGAAGGGCTCCCTCATTGTCCCAAGAACTCACACAGTCGTCATCCTGCACGAGCTGGACAATCCGGTGCAGGACGTCGTCCAGGGTCTCCCTGTGGGGCAGGGGCCGCGGTTTGGAAGGACCTGGGTAGGTGGCGGGTGGTGGGGTGCTGTTTGAGAGGTCCGGGAGGGAGTGGGATAGGGGCTCACTTGCACCGGACGTTGAAGTTCCTTCCAAGTGCCACATGTCTTAGGGACCGACTCCTCCCGATGGCCAGCACCAGAGTCACCATGTCTGAGCCGAAACCTAGGGGTGGCTCCGGTCACGCATCAGGAGAGGCTGAAAGGGTGGGCATGGGTGGGAGCTGGGTGGGCAGTGGGGGGAGGGTGGGTTCGGGGCGGCCTCACCATTATCCGCCAGATCCAGGGAGCTCACTGCGCCAGCATCACACACTAAGTCTTGTATCACCTGAGCGCCCGCAGAGCGCAGCTGAGAGTGGAAGGTGAGGCACGTTCAGACCAATGGGCTGCAGGTGCAGAGACTTGGGCGCCCGATGGCCGGCGCTTGCGCCTCCCAGCCCCATTCGGCGCGTGGGCCCATTGCAGCTCACGTCTCGGGCCGGCGCTCACCTCACAAGCGCTGAGATCCAGGTGCAGGTCGCCCGTGTGCGTGTTGAGCGCGAGGCCTTCCAAAAGGGCCCTGGGAGGGGATGTCACAGGGAGTGGCGGGAGCTGGGAAAGGGGGCCCCAGGGCGCGAACGAATAACAAGACCGAAGGGCCAAGACGCCGGCAGGTCGTGGGGGCGTTAGGAGCGAGGTGAAGCTCTGGGGGGCCCGGCCTGGGTGGTGGCCGCACACGTACCCGTGGGGGGCGTAGCCGTGAGCAGCGACACTGACCTGAGCGCGTCGGGCCGCAGCTTGCAGCCGGCCAGGCCCAGGTGCCGAAGCGTCCCCGCGCGGCTGAGAAACAGTTGCAGCGCGGCGGGCGCAGCGCGGGACTTCCTGGGGTGGGCGAGCGGGAGGAGTGGGCTTCCGGGCGCAGGAGGGCGGCTCCCGGCAGTCTCCCCCCACCGCCCGGACCCGCCCCCCTTACGTGCGGGAGAAGACATTCCTCGAGGCGTCCAGGTGGCTGAGGCTGGTGCAGCAGCCGCGGGCCAGTGCCGCGAAGAGCTACGGGAGGAGGGTGTGGGCTACACCGACGGAGGACCGAGACCCGGCACCCCCCAAACCCCAGTCTATCCTCAGGACTCGGGCCGGGTCACCGGCCCTACAGATCATCCCCCCACGGACCACCCTCTCACAGTGTCCAGGGCGGTGTCCGTGCCCGCAAGATTCAGGAACGTCAGAACATTAGGACGGCTCAGGAAACTATAGAGGCCCTGATGGGAGGATGGCGGTGGGAGGAAGTCAGGGATCACATCACCAAGAGCTCCCTGACATCCCACTGCCCCCAATCATTGCCTCTAAAGACAACCACTTACCCCATTGTCCTCCGAGGCCCCCAGAGCCCCAGGGTTCCCGGAAAGGTCCAGGTGGGTCAGGGCAGTGTCAAAGGCCACATTGGAAGCCAGCGCCCGGCCCAGAGACCTCATTCCTGGTGGCGAAGGAGGGAGTGGCTCACCAATCAGGGAGATCCACCCCCACCCCGCCCCCTGCCTACCCCACCTACCTCGAGGAGTTAACCCGGTCTGGGCTAGGCAGAGTCTCCTAAGGGCTCCAGGTCGATGCTCTAGGTGTCTGCTGAGAGCAATCATGCCTAGGGAATGGGGGTGGCTGTGTGGCTCTCACCTCCTCCAGCACCCGCTCCCTGGGGTTCCCTAGGTTCAGCCGTACCTCGGTCATCCAGCAGGTTCCCTGTGAGGCTAAGCTCCCGGAGGGCAGAACTTGAGTGCCCTGCCAGTGCCTGGGCCAGTCGCCGGACAAAGTCTCTGGGGACCAGACCCCAGGTGTGAAACTCTGACCCTGGATTCCCATCTCCTCCCCGGCCACAAGCCTCCCCATCCCGAGCTCCCAGACTCCTGACCCCAAGCCCTACCCTGTCCCCCTTACCCCCTCAGGCCACAGTTCTCTAGCACTAGCTCCTCCAGGTGGGATGACTGACTCATCATGTGCAGAATCTGCTCTGAGACCTCAAGGCTCTGAGAACCAGAGTGGGGGCTCAGTGAGCTGCACCCTGGGCCCCGCACCCTGGGCCCCTCCCCTCCCCTATATTCTCACCAGCTTCATGTCCACACAGGAGAGGCACTGGAACCACAGGTTGTAGGACAGGGCAGCCACACTCAAGGCCAGGTCCCTGGGTGGGAGAAGGGGCAGAGGCAGAATTCAGGGCCCTCTAGCCAGATCCTCGGCCCAACATCCCCCTCCATGGAGAGGCCACAGTTCGGGAATGTGGGTCCTCCCTTCCCGCCCCTGGCAGGCCACAGACCGACTGCCCAGATGGCTGAAGTCACCCAGGCTGAAGTTGCGGCAGCCCTGGCGATGGTAGATGGTGTCCACATCCTGGATGGGAAGAAGATGTCTCCCACTGGCTTGGGATCAAAGGGGAAGGGACCCTATGCACAGGGGGGATCAAATGCCTCCAGAGCCCCCCAAGGAGGGCCCTACTCTCACCCACTGAATCTCCTCTCGGAAAGGGAAGCCATTGTAGTCACACAGAGCCTCATATGTCTCCAAGAAGCCACCTGGGGGAGGTGCCAGGGGTATAATGGGGTGAGGAGGAGAGAGACAGAAGGTCAGAGGAGGAGGAAGATCAGAGCCAAGCCGGGTGGTGGCTGTACTTGAGGTGACTATTCAGTTTCAGAGACCCCCAATTCAGGGGTCTGGGGCTGCAGGCTGAGGGGTAGGCTGGAAGCCCTGGGTGGCCTTTTCTTGGCCCTTACCACAGGGGGTGCTGGCCGCCGTGTCCTCAGAGGGGCTCCTTCTCTCCAGCCGAGCCAGCATGGAGGGGGATGTGGGCCTCCGGAAGAGCTTCCTGGGGTGCGAGGAGAAAGGAGAAGGGGACAAGCGACCTGTAACCCCTGGGATGGGAGGCAACCCACTTGTGTCATCCCCAGCACACCTCTGCTGCCCTGGTTTTCTGCTGGTCCCTTGTAGTCGCTGGGCCTCACCCAAGGCTGGAGCGAGGGAAGACCTTCTTGATGGCGGCGGCGATGTGCTGGGCCAGCTGTTCCAGAGCGGCCACACCCGGAAGCTCCAGGACCAGCTCAGGCAGGGACTCTAGCTCAAAAGTCACCTGATGGGGAGGAGGGCAGCTGGGTTGCCCTCTCTGTGTGGGTGCCAGGGAGGCGAAAACCAGGCTGCAGACCACGGGGGTGGGGTACTAGCTGTCTCACCTGAGGGGGTGTCTCCTGCAGCGCCATGGCCTGGACCTCCAGGTAGCTGAATGTGCAGTCCACCTGTGGAGAGCTGGAATCAGCTGGAACCAAGGCCCTAGCCCCACGCTTCTGGGGTCCCAGTCCTCTGCGCAGCTGGGAGCTCTGAGCCAGCCCCGCCCGCTGTGGAGCCCGGTGCTGTGGGAAGGGCAGAGCCCACAGGACAAGAGACAGCTTGGCCGGCGCAACCCTCACCAAGGAAGCTGCTGGAGGGCAAGGTGAAGGTGGCAGTCAGCCCCTGACACTCACCCTCAGGGGGAGGCAGGTGTGGAGCAGGTAGGCTCTCCAGCGTAGCAATGCCTGTGGGGAGAGAGTGTCTGACGCCCAGGACAGGCCAAGGGGCTCTTTTAGCCTGGGGCCCCCGTGGTCCTCCCACACTCGGCCCCCTGCCATACCAGGACATGACCTTGCTCAGCACCCTCCCGCTCTGGTAGCCAGGTTTTCAGCAGCAGCTCGGCCTCCTTGGGCCACAGGAACCTGGTGATCTCGCCTGTGGAATGGCAGCCCACTGGGTGATTGGGTCCTCCCACGGAGGCCAACGCATGCCCATGGTCTGTACCAGGCCTGTGGCCTGGGCTCATCTATGGGCCAGCAAGGAAGGAGTGGAGTGGATGTGGGGGCGCAAAGCTCTTCAGAGATGCAGACAACACTGCCTGGGACGCTGGGTGTGCTCTGGCTTTGGAGCCAAGTAGGCGGGAAGGGCCAGAACTTACCTCTCAGCTCACATGATATGCTGTCGGGGGTCTGGGCCATGGGGCCAGGCCGGGCCGCCGGGTGGCCCAAGGAGCTCCGATGAGAAACAGTTGCGGGCGGGCGGGCGCGCACACAGGAAGCCTGGGGGCCCTGGCCCGCACTGCAGCCACCTGCTCCTCCTGCAGCGGAAGGTACGCGCTGCTTCCTGCCAGGCCGCCCCCAGCCCGGCTCCTCCCCGCCCCAGCCTCCGCGGGCCAGGAGACGTAGGAGGGGGGCAGAGTCCCAGCTGTCCGCCCCCCTTGTCGCGCAGGAGCTACTCTGGGAGGGCAGACACGGGGTAGGAGTTGGACGCCTGCGGCACGCGCCTCTTGCGGTTCCTAGCCCCCTACTTCCACCCCGCGCCGCAGTCCCTGCCGGGAGCACCAGGGGGCGCTGCCCGCTCGGGATCCCTGCGACCCACCCGCGTTCGTCCACTCCAAAACCCAGCTGGGGAAGTGGACTGGAGGCCGGGAGGGGCGTCTATTCAGCAACGAGCATCGGTTATCTCCCAGAATCGCTCCCAACACCGGGGTCACAACCTGAAGGACCTAATCTGATGCTCCTAGCCTGGAGCCTGTGACCCCCTTGGAAATCCACGAACTTTTTTTTTTTTTTTTTTTTTTTTTTTTTTGAGTAATCTCTACGGGGACTCGGAACTCACGCCCCAGAGATCAAGAGTCTCATGCTCTACCAACTGAGCCAGCCAGGCGTCCCGGAAGCAGCAGAAAAAAAATGCCAGAAAAAATGCCAGATGGGCTCAGGCGCCCTTCTCTGCAGCACACGGTCCTCAGCTTTTATCAGGTTCAAGCTGGTTGCAGGCTGGAAGGTGGGAAGTACCCTCAGGAGGCAGGCGGCCTTGAGTTAAATGCCTAAACCCCAAGGGTTTCAGGGAGGGGTGAGCAAAGGCCAGGTACATGGGGGTTAGCTCCCCTCCAGACCTCACCTCTGCTGGCTGGGAGGGATCAGGAGGTCATGCGGTGGGGTCCTGCTAACCAGAAGCATGCTGCCCTAGAAAAGACCAGGGACCTAGAATATGGAGGGTTCACAGGAGAAGAAATACTTCTTTTTCTTCCACTACAATCCAATGAAACTCCACTTACTAGGAACAGCGCACTGCCCTGCCCACAGCTCAGCCGGGCAGAGGTAGAATAACCTCGAGAATAGACGAGACGCTGAGCAGGGTCCCTTGGCTTCCTTCCCATCCAGCCACCCCTCCCCACCTCAAGAGAAGGGGGAACATCCTCCAGTCAGGTGATCTGTCAGCTGGGGACTGGCTAGGGTGGATGGGAGGCCTCAGCTAGAGAAGGTATTTTTGTAAACAGAGGCACCAGTCCTCCTCTGATGTCTCCCAGCTTGGAAGAAGAGTTTGGGTTAAGATTTAGGACTCCTAAGAGCACACAGCACCCACAAACTGCTTTTAGGATGAGAACTCAGTAGGTCTCTTGCACTCTCAGCAGGCCAGGCGGTCGGTCAGTGGAGAAGGCTGGTTCTAAGGGCCGACTGCCTGAATGGAGGCCTGACTCCACCTCTTGCCAGGTGTTCCACACTCAAGAAATTACTTCTTTGGGCTTCCAGTTCGTAAGCTGGAGCTATTAACTTACCTCTAAGTGTTGCTGTAAGCATATGAAATGCTGTTTAAGTGCTCACAGCAGCGCCTGGCACTCTGGGAGTACGCATACCCACCACATCTGCCACGGCAACCCCAGGGCCCCACAGCCCACCATGAGAAAATCCACCTGGCCAGGGGTTTCCTGTTGAGAATGATTCGGAGGAGAAATACAAGAGGCAAGCACCGCCAGAGGAGACGGTCTCCAGGCGAGCAAGACACTGGTGGCACCTGCCCTGTCTGATGAGAGCCGTGGGGGTGGGCACGGGCTGCTGAGAGCAAACCCCAGTCAGCAGTGACCAGACTACCGCGCGTCTGTCAGAGCCCAGGGGAACACATGGGACCCAGCTCCTACCATACTGGGTGACTCAGTGCGAGGCGGAGAGGCCTTCAGCTCGTCTGTGTTCTAGATGGCATGACACTCCGTGGGCGCTCAGGAAATGCTCAAAGCGCCTCCGGAGGCCTAAGCCCCGCCTGCGGCAGCGGCGTGGGAGGAGGGGCCGAGCAGGCGCTGGACTGCGCCTCCCGGGGCCACAAGGCTAGCTCAGATGTTTTCGAAGACTAGATCCAGACCACAGGCCAGAGAAGGGCTGCACGGCAGCGGGCGTGGGGGTGGGGTGGGGTGCGAGTCCAGGTGTGTTAAGGGAGAATTTGACTCCAGTACCTGCTGTGCTGTAACAGTGGGGAAGGGCAGACAGGTCAGGCAAGCACCCCACCCGAAGTTTTCTGGTGTGGAGTGAGGAGTGGCTTCTGTACTTTAACGCTTATATATGTATAACCTATATTTTAGATAGGTTTTATATATAATGGAGTCACACAGGGTGCATCATGGGCTATGCAATGGGGGATCCCTCCTAAGTTTCTACTTCATCAGAATGGGACTTTCCTTCCCCCCTTCCATCCAAAACTGATCTTTTAAATTTTCAAACAAGCTGCATATATACAATGAGATAAAAAGCTATGCTTTAGATAGAGATCACACTGTTCTGCAGAGATTATAAACACCAAAAATTTTATTAAATTATATGGCCACTGGAACACTGATAGGGGTACTGTGGCCCCCACAGGGGCTGGCCCATGCGTGAGACAAAGACCCCAGACAGCCTCGGGCCACGAACACTGGGTCCAAGGAGCTGACCGCCACGTTCTGAGTCTTGAGGCCTCAGACCCGTTTTCCTGGGAGAAGGGACAATGTGGAAAGTACAAACAGCCAAAGGTCACACACACCTTACCTTTTGTTACTTCTTACTGAAAACCACTAATTCAGAATTCTGGTTAAAAAGCCCTAGAATTAGTGGCTGAAACTTTTACCCAAAATGGGTTTGCCAAAGCTATCTGCCCAGAAATGACCAGCAGCAAGATGCTTCACAAATCCATCAACCTCCCATTCCAATTCTCTTTCCCTCATGCCTCCCTCGGCCCTTGCTCACAAGCTACGCTATCTAGGAACCTCCCTGCAGCCTGGTGACTATCTCCCCTCCCAAACAACCTTCTCTAGGGCAAACTGGGCCCAGCTTCTCTTGTACTGCACCTGGCAGAACTCAAGGTACTGATCTCAGCCCTCACTCCGCTGAGATCCAGAGGAGAGAACTTCCCAGAGCCCCCTTCTCTAATCTCTGTGGTCACCCCTCTGCCGCAGGGACCCACTCCTAAGGTGGATCATGGAGGCTTTAGCGCCTTTCCACCCATACCTTACTACTCACACACACCTCTGGGGAGTTAAAACCTGTGGCAGGATTCACTCACTAATACCACTTGCCAAGATCATCTTGGAAGTGCCGGAGAGGAAGTGACTGTCCTGGGAACAGAGTTCGCCTCTGAAGGGCGACCAGGCGACCACCACCTGAGGCCACGCACACGGACCTGCAGGCCCCTCAGCAGGCAGAGATCACACGTGACGAAGTGTCTGGAGCACTTGTTAATCCGTTATGATTTATTAGCTGTACAGCAGTAGATCCTCCTCCCCAGCTTTCAACCCCATTACATATTTTATTACAGGTCTCATGTTGGCGTCCTAAAATAATGAAAAATATCACACAGTACAGCTAAGTACAAAATGCATCAACCTAGAGTCTGATAGCTAACTGATGGCTCTTTTAAAAGCAATACACAGAAGAGAAAAGTGTTTGAAATCAGCAAGACTGAGGCTCTCTAAAAAACACATTTCAAACGTGTGACAGTTCATGTGCAAGAATCACTTTTTAGTTGGTTTTGTTTCACATTATTATTATCTTGTTTTGCAGATCCAAAGTTTAAATTACTGACCTAGTGAACTTTTCTGGGCTGCTGTGACCCACTCATAATCACCCTTCTGCTTGAACAGAGGAGTAATAAAACACAAAATTCAGCTACAAACAGAGCAAAGAAAATGTAGATGGGAAATCATAACTGAAAGTTAATTGTACAAGGTTCAAATGCTGGCTCCACGGGCTGGCAATCGCGATCTTCCGTGTGGGCGTCCGTCACTAGCGGGCAGCAGTCTCAGTGCCGTTCTGCTACATGATTGTGATCCAATTCCTTGTCAACATTTACACACGACAGAGTCTGTGGTAACTTAATTTGCAAGTAATTAAAATGCTGGGTTTTCTTACACTGCACTTCTTTTCAATCTCTTAATTAATGGAAAAGATTAAAATGTAAAAAAAGTTATTTACAAGCTTGACCATACCAGAAACTTTGCCAAGAAAGAGGCAAAGCCTTCAGGACAGACACCGACCGCAGCATGCCGTACTACTGGTGTGCAGCTGGCTCCGAGCAAAGGGAGTCAGGGAGAAGCAGAAGCAAAAACCAGTTTAAAAGTGTAAGTCCTTCCCAAGTCTGCATTTACAATTAAAAACTCTCTTGGGAAGAAGACCTAGAACTCTGGAAAACCTGGTGGTCATTCTGGAGTGGTTTACCATAGCGAGAGAGAGGGTTCAATGTCTCTGTTTCCATCTAAGAAAACCAGTTAGGCATCAACACTGTCCTCAGCACTCCACAGTAAACCCTCGGGGACTCAGAACATTCCATGATTTGCTAACATCAAACAGAAAGTTCTAGTAAAATCACATTTTTCTAACATCATCCTTGAAGTTTTAGTTCTCAGTATGTTTGGTAAAATGGTGTAAAATGATGCTTTTCCCAAAGCCAAAAGAAGAAAGAAGGGAAAAAAATTAAGATGCGGGCCGTTGAAACACAGCCCAGAGCAGTCCTGGTGATGAGCACGGCCCCGCCATCACCGGTCCATCATGCTGAGGATCATCTCGGGCGTGAGGTCTCCATTGGGGGCGTCTGTGGCAGCTGGCTGGGCCTCCTCTTCCTCCCCCTCCACGGGCTCCGCGTCTGGCTCCTTTTTAACTTCAACTATAATGTTCTCAATTGCACCTGTATTCTGGTCTTCCACTTGGATGATGGCTGTTGCTGGCAAGAAAAGAGCACGGACAAAACAAACGCTCCATTATAGCCCCTGACGCCTTCAAGGGTTCCTGTCAGACTCGACACTAAATGGATGTCAGCAATGCAGGAAAGCCTTAGCAAGGATACAGCGAAAGTCATTAAAAAAGACTCAATGACCTAAAATGTGGCCATTTGTAAAGCCCCAACACTCTCTGACTACTGAAGAACAAAATGCTGACATTAGTGTTCATATGTCTCCCAAATGCCATACTAAAAGCCTTAGTTTTCCTTCAGGTCAGAACGGTCAGAAAGCACGTTCTGCACTGGTTACGAGATAGGCAAGAGATGCAGGCCGGACGTTACCAAGAACACCTCACAATGCCTGTGATCCAGGGCCGCTCAAGGTGCACCACCGACGGCGGGAACATCCATTTCCGATCCTCAAGTCTCCCACACCCGGGGCCTCCGCCAGTGTTTCCACTCAAGGGTGTGGAGGCAAAATGGCTCCCAGGGTCTACAGTCAACCTCCCCCACCCCAAACCGACATCTACACATGGGGCTCGGGGAGTACATTAAAAAAATTAACAAACATCAGACTAAGTCTTGCAT